ATACTTAAAGTCGATGGTGACGTTAAGAGTGAGAGGGAACCATCGAGGTCGGTTCGACTTGAATGATGAACCCCTTGACTAACCCTTCTTATGTAACCTCATCGTGTCTGGGTCGGGAATACTCAACGAGGATTGACCGCCTCCAACAGTTGACTCTTGGTAGGCTGTTAGTATATGCCAGGCTTAGCGGTCTCGAGATATCGGCCATTGACGGGCATCGAAGGGAGAGAGAAGCGCATCGTGGAAGTGGAACGGCGGAATGATACCGACGCGGTGAGAAGAAACGCCGCGGTAAGATATCTCGTCGTTTCCGGGTGAGGGAGTCGCCTACTTCGCGATGCTATAAATGATATTGAATCGGGTCCACCCGGTTCCTGTTCCGAATGATCAGCTCTGGCCGTCGCCGCTGATAGTACCACTCTCGCGCTAGATGCTTTCATACTCTTCAGTTACACATTTCAAGGTACCATGTTCGTCACTGTGTACCTGCTTTCTGCTACCGCAGTTGCAACCTCGCGTCAGCTACAAGGAACTTCGCCTGTTGCTCCTATTACAACATCTACTACTGTTTCGACTGTACCACCTGTTGATGCTGCTACCTTGCAGAACACCTGCGACGTCTACTGCCAGGGACTTAACGGAGGTGATTCTTACTGTAAACTGGATTTGAGCCCACCCACTTGCCAAGGGGGTGATCAGCCTTGTGGCACTATTGCTATCTGCGGCCCTTCTGTAACGGTGATACCGACTGATGCGGTCCCCACTGGTGATGGAACGTACGAGCCAGCGTGTGACACTATGTGTCAGAGTCTCAACGATGAGGCTTCGTACTGCAAGTGGTGGCTCCCTCGCCCTACTTGTCTCGGTGGTGATCAGCCGTGTGGGGATCAAACTGTGTGCACCTCGCAGACGTGGCCTCCTGCCCCGACGCCGACACTTCCTTTCGAGGCCCACCCTTACGAGTCCGTCCCTTGCAATTCCTACTGTGTTGGTCTCAACGGACCATCTTCCTTCTGCAAGTGGTGGAAGAGTGAGCCTTCCTGCTACGGTGGGGATCAGTCCTGTGGCCCATCAGATTGCCCTACCGGCACCCCTGCCCCCACTGGAGGTCCTCCTGACTCTCATGCCGGCCCCAGTCCCAATTGTGACGCCTATTGTGCCGCTTTCTACACTGGTCTCTCCGGTGATCGCATGTCGTACTGCAAGTGGTGGCTCTACGTACCG